GGCAATCAACTTTGAGATGGATTCGTAATGGTGTTACAACATGAAATGGGCTTGAAATCATTCATTGAAGTAGGATTAGGCACTTTTGAAACTAAAGCAATGATAGTGGCATTCAACTCTTTCAGTAGCTTACCATTAGAAAAAAATTCTTTCACATCTTCAACAACATCAATCCCTATAATAGATCACACTTTCCTAAAAAAATAAGGGTTATAGCCATCTGGCCCAAGAGTTTTATGGTCATTCATTGAAGAGAAGGCTTTCTTAATTTCATCACTAGTGAAGGGCATGGCCATCTCTACAGATTGTTGGCTAGAGATCTTCTTTTGAATGACTGAGTTTGAGAGGCTCATCCTTTCAGTTTCAAGAAACATTGAATTTGGTCCCAACAATTGCTTAAAGTAGTTAATGGCTTCACGCTGGACTGCTTGTTCACCTACGGCCAGAGAATCATCTGATTTTTTGATATAAACAATCCTCTTTTTATTTCTTCTACTGGTCATGGTCTTAAAGAAAAAGCTTGTGTTCTGGTCACCTTTTTTTAGCCACAAAATCCTTGACTTTTGCTCGTAAATAGACTCCTTAGCTTTTCTAGCAAATAGATAATCAACAAGCAACTTTTTCTCCTCTTCCCTTAACAGTAGGGTATTAGGATTATTGTCCATATTCCTTTGGCAAGCTTTGAGTGCAACTTTGGTGGAGAAAGCTAATTCAGTGGCAGAACCCTTTTTTTGCATAAGGACTTAAGGACACCTTTAAGATTCTTCAATTTATGACAAAGTTTGTATTGGTGAGACCCATGAATACTTACCCTCCAATTATGCTCGACAATGGATTGAAAGTCATCTCTATCAACAATATAGTTGAATAATTTGAAGAGAGAATGTCTTTTTTACTGTGGGATTCTTAGCCTGACCACACCAGGGGAATGGTCTGAAACCCCATGGGGCAGAAACTCAGCAACTGCTTGTTAGAATTTGGGAACCCATTCTTCATTAACCAAAATTCTATCCAGCTTTCTAGTGATCCAGTGCACTCCATCTCTATTGTTACGCCAAGTGTAGAAAATACCAGAGTATCTCAAGTCCTCTAGTTCAGACTCTTGTAAACATTCTTCAAATTCTATCATTCTATTATTCCACTTCCCTAAGCAGCCTAGGAATTCACTAGGATTTCTAATAGTGTAAAAATCCCCAAGGACAATCCAAGGCTCATTTTGGTGAATTCTAGCAAGGTATCTCAGATCTCTCCAAAGAACCCTTCTTTCCACCAATTCATAATATGCATATACGATAGAGACATGCATGCTAGAATGGCTTACATCATGTTTAACATGACAATGGATGATTTGATCAGTTTCATACACTTTGTATACATTGAGGGAGTTTAGGTTCCACCCAATCCAGATATGGCCTAAAATGTGGCTCTGGTAGTTATCAAAGTAGCTTCATTGCCTAAACACATTCCGCATTATAAAAGAAGAGTTAACTTCTCTAACTCTGGTTTCAATTATTCCCACTAAATCAAGTTGATATTGACTAACAAGTTTCTTTACTTCCTCCTGCTTAGAGGGGTCATCGAGCCTTCTAATGTTCTAGTAGGCCAAGCTTATCATAAGAGAAAAGCTTTATTGAGCTTAAGATGATTAGTACCCTTTAATCTTCCCATGTTTTTGGGTTTCTTTCTCACTTCTTTCTTTTTCTGAGTAAGCTACTAGTTTTCGGGCTTGTGTGGACTCATAGCACTAGGGTCAAAGGCCTTATAAGGAAGGCTAGGATAGGAAGAGCTAATGTCAATAACCAATTTGCCTCCTACTTCACCTAAATTCTCACTCTTATTGCCTAAAATGTTGTTATCATGGAGACAAGCAGCATTAGAATGGTGAAGAGTGCAATAATTAACCTGGTCCTCCTGCTCAATATGCTCTTTTTCAATGTGTGAGGAGCTAGCAACGTGAAAGGCAGAAGTTTGAGGAACTGTAGAAGGTGGCAAGTCTTCCTCCTCCACCACAATGGTAGTACTGATAATGGATTTTTCTTTATCATTCACGGCATGGCCAGCGTTCTGAGTATGAGATTCGTTCACCAACCTACTCTTTTTTTGGTAGAAATCATCAGAGTGGCCGAAAATGTTGCAGAAGTGGCAAAGCTTTGGCTTCCACTAGTAGTCCACATCAATTACAACCACTTCAGGATTCCCATTGACATCATTCTTGTCCAGTTGGAGTTCAAACGAATTAAGCAGATCATCCTTCGTGTTAATCTCAACATAGATTCTAGCAAAACTGATTCCACTCTTTCTGTAGGTCAATGAATCAGCATAAAGTGGTCTCCCTAAGGCACTTGCAGTGTAGCTAAGACCATCATCAATCCAGTACTACAGAGGATGTTGTATAACTTCACCCACACGGGAATAATGGAATGATCTTCTTTAGAAAACAACAACATCAACATGCCATGTCTTCAAAATCAGAGGCCTACCGTGGAACAGCCATGGCCCAACTTTAACAACCTTAGATCTAGCCTCCTTATCCTCAAATTTGAAGAAGAAAAAGCCACAATCGTTGGCCAAGACCTCCAACAATCCCATACTATCTCAAATCTTATGTACTATGAAATTAACAATTGAGAAATGAAGTTTCTTCTCTATAAAGTACCCCACTAGGCAATTTCTCCACTCAACACTACCCTTGATGGCAACCTCTTTTGGGGGTTTAACAATCACTCTGTTAGTAATCCTAGTTGGTTTATGGATTGAAGCTTCATAGTAGCAAGATTAGGTCCCTGCTGAAAGAAGATATGACTAGTAAAGAGATCCACTCCCCTGCCTTTCTTAACAACTTGATCCTAATGAAGGGGTGTACCTGGTGTATTTTGTTGGTTAACACCCACCAAGCTAGAATGGGACGGCTGTTTCTGGGTCGAAAGGATCATAGAGTTCGTACCAGAGTTAGGATTAGGGACCACATTTAGAATGCTTGCAGTTTTGGACTTTTGAAGTTGGGACCGAGATCGAATCTAGTGGGATAAAGGAGTTGGGACCCAGGCTTTTTGGATCAGTGGCTTGCGACTCCTCTAAGAGAGATCCTTTGTAGTGGAGATGCCATTAAAATTAGGTGGTGAGGGGGACCCATCTCCCAAACTGGGATTGGGATTAACAGGATGGGGCCCTTGAGTAGGAGCCCTAGATTTGCAGGAACAATTATTGGACATAAAGATGGAAAAGTGGGTAGGTGAGAATATTAGCAAAGCAACGAGGATTGAATGCTAAAAGAGGACAAGAAAAGGATGGAAAAGAGGAGAAGGTGGGACAGAGAAGACAATAAGGATTGAATTAATATGTTGCAATACTTATATCGTGACTTTGGTTATATAAAAGTTTGATTATATATATTTTGCATGCATGTTGAATAATGTTAATTTAATCATTGCATTGTTAAAATTGTATTATACATTGCTTTTATATTATGAACAAATATTTACAATTTTTTACGAATAAATTTACATACATATGGGATGGAGTGGTACTGTCGAGGGGTGATTCAAACCAATGACGGTTTTTTTTTTGTGGGGGGGGGGGGGGGAG